GTACGACGAACTAGACCCATGGTCTTCATGCGTCTTCCAGGTCAGGTGCTGGTCCACGTTTACACCCAATAGCTTTGTGCAGGAAATCCGTTTTAGTGGAGTATCGCCACAAGCGATAGGAAGTTTTCGTTCTTCTAAACTGTGATATCGCGCCATCTGTGGAGTGGAAATAAGCATCCAGTTTGTCTTGGAAGAATTCAAGGCCATGTTGCAATTCTTAGAATAGTCCCTCAGACTTGTAAGTGCTTTATTTATGTGATCTGCTGAAGAATTGAGATCACATGGTTTCGAGTGGATGTAAAACGTCATATCGTCAGCATACTGATAACAGTCACACTGCAGCTCGCTCCGGAGGTCGGCGACATAGAGAATGGAAATAACCGGACACAGAATTGAGCCTAAAGAACGCCCGAATTCCACAGTTGCCATGTCTGACTTCTTGTCGTCAATTTGCACCAACTGTCTCTTATGAGTTAGCTAGTCAATCATCCATAGTAAGAAGTACTTGGAGAACCCTAGGCTGTGCATCCTAGAGACCACCGACCTAGATTGGACGGTATCAAAAGCATTGCTATAGTCTGCGCAGACCATCAGTGTCACCTCTCCTCTGCTTGATGCCCGCATTAGAGCGTCGCGGATCCCCAGTAAAACAGGTAGTTGTTAAATGACCTTTCCGGAATCCTAATACTGTAGGACCAAGTAGCGCTTCCTCATTGATATAAACAATGAGCTGGTAGAGCGCCAAGCGCTCGAACACTTTAGATAGTGTCAGTAGAATCAAGACGGTAATCAGCGTCAGAAAAGGGTTCATCAACTTAAGGAATAGGGGAGATTCATGCTATCCTCCAGAGTCTGGGAAAACTTGATATTGCAATACAACGGTTGATTAAATGTGTTAAAGTACCCGATATATGTTCCTTGGCTAGTTTTACAAATTTCACCGGAATCTGATCTATGCCAGTTGATGTATCGGAGCGAAGTTTATCGATCTCTTTCTCAACTTCAATTGAGGAGACACAGTGCAGGTTAGAAGGATGCGAGGTCCGAGGACACTCCGAAAAAGAGTTCACAAGGTCTATTATATCTGTTCTTTTATCCGGTTTGGTACCTAGTGTTCTCTCGTTTTTACTTAATATGCTTTAATTGTAAAAAAATGTGATTTAGATTATTTTGTATAAGCAATGCTAAAATGGATAGGATGCAAATTGAAATAAAGGCAGCCATTGGCCAGAAATCATGCTTATTTCTTTGATTTCTATCAGGATAAACTGAGTCAAACCTTACCTATCCTGAGTTCAATGATGAGTCGGGACGTCAAGGAGAAGTTGCAATGAACGTACTACCTTTCTATACTTTTCCTAGGCACTCATTCGTTGTTCAAACTCAGAGTAAAACGAAGCTGTCGGAATAGCTGTACTAGAATTCGTGCAGAATAAAAAATGGAAGGTCCTTTTCTGAGTCAAAAAAATGCCGAGGCAAACGACACAGGCGAAACCTCTCCTTGTGAATAATGCATCGCAAACACGACGCCGGAATCTAGTCTAATGATGTCTTCAGATTTGCAGGTAGATGAAATGATATGCTAAATGTTTTCGACAAGAAATTTCTGACAAATGTGCAAGGTGTTCGATTGATAATTTTCCCTGCGTGGCAGTGGAAAACATACAAATTTTCGAACCACTATTCGAATGAACAGTCTTTACTGTCATGCAATCAAAATGAACTGCAAACCGACGAGACAAATCAACACGTCACTACACTGATTCCCCTTCATTCAACTGAATTCGTTTCCAACTTCTCTCTAATGGTTTCGAGAAACAAAACCCGATTGAATTTAGCTCTTCTTAGCAGACGTGATTTTCTCGTTTCTTTGTTGTTCCGTTATTGCTTTTAGTCAACTGATCACTCAAACGGATGACAATAAAAGGTGAAAAGGTTGAACTTCCTGAAGGAGTATTATCCTGTGGCAGTGATTGTTTAGAAATGGGTCGTTCTTCGAGCTTTGAATTTTCCACAGAAGACCCAAACGATCGCTGAATAGTGTTCGGCCTAACTGTACTCAGCTTAAATGAAACCTCGCAACGGACTCAATAGCTTTAATGACCACGTTCAGTGTCTAGACGTCAAAATATGATGAAACAAGGGTCGAAACCGATGCCTGTTAAACGGCAAAGCGAAAGTATCATGGAAGTGACGGAAGATCTAGAGCTCCTATGTATCGAAGAGGAGGTTAACGACATGGAGAGGGCAAAGGAACTGCATGAGAAGAGAGTCGCTGAGTTGAGGAAAACAAACGGAACTTTGAAGATGATAAGCTCTTACTGATCAGTCGAGGTCAAGCACGCATTCCCTTTAAAAACGGAGACGTGCAAAACTTTAACTTTTATATTTGATCAAACTAAAATGCCAAATTAGTTACAAGTCCATACAAATGCAGTGATTTCCAGAACCTTGCGTTGAGATGGTCAATGCCATGCTCATGGAATGTTACTATTGCGTCGGACAACAGACCTAAGAAATTCCATTCAACTAAAACTCATAAAGATGTACATCAAATGTCAACATTGACGTAGACGTATGTTTTCCTTCAAATTGCGGGATGCTTATTACTGAACGCTAAGTCTTATCTAGACTAATATGTTGCGTATAATTAATTAAGATGTAAAGATAAAAAAAGTTTTGACATCATAAATGTAGGACGATTTTCAGGACCTTGTTTTTAAATGAACAGTACGTTATTTATGGCATATTATCATTTGCGACAGACAGCAGAACTGAGTGATTTGATTTCATGAAAAGCATGAAGGTGTAAACAAAATGTCAACATTGATGCAAAGTTATGTCTTCTTTCAATCCTACTTGTTCTGAGAGCTGATCCTGCATTGTAAGTTTCGTCTAAACTTATGTATTTATGAGTAGTTCACCAACGAGTGTCATTGAAGCAATCGAAGTATCTAAAAATTTCTACCTGTCAACGTGTATTTTAACAAAAAATTACTGTTTACATCGACAACATGCTGATCTTTCACATCAGTCCTTGTGGTTATTAGGCACACATACAAAAGTCAAGGAACAAGCCTAAAAGGAAGTCAGTTGACATTTAGGCATACGGAACATGAATTTATCACGGAAATTTACATTTTCAAACCTGAAGAAACAATAGAGTGTGTTTCCAATGTAAGCACACTCGGAAAAAAACATTTTCGATGATACAGACAACAACCCCATTGTGCAAAGTAATTCTTTTAAACTACTTCAAGTTGAAACTAGTCCTGTTTTTTCTAATTGCTGGACATGTGGTCGTGAAATGGATAACCTGTTCTAGAACCTTCATGCATGGACTTAAACCTCCCAATCAGATACACATCATGTCTGCAGACGAAAATATTATCTCGAGATATTCTAGACCAGATAAAAATTAATTAAGATCGTAAGTCTTGATCTGATACGGGTGGTGAGAAAAAGATTCAGTGGAATCATTATTTCAACACTTTTACCATCATTATGGTAAAAGTGTTGTTCTCGTGAAAGATTCTCTATGTTGGCGACCTCTGTCAATTGATATCCGTCGATGTTGACAGGTTTAGGTTAAGTCAACCTTCCTCCTTTCTCCTTCAATTTGGGCTACTTCGTGGTGAAGGCACTTGAGCTACCCTTTTCCTTCACTGTTTCTCTGGCTAACAATGAGGTAAGACAAAGTAAGACGAAGACAAGGATTGTGCTCGATACTCTCGACTAGTTCACGGTCATGTCCAGAATCGGAGACAGATTCGAAGTAATTTTTTCTAGTCTCTCGTAATGCTTTTAAATACTACCTTTGTCATTACAAGGAATTTTGCGACGGTGAAATACAGTGGCAGCGAAACCTCCAAACGACCTCTATCCAAACTATGATAACAATTTCAGGCAACTTGAGAGAAACACTTAGCATTTAGTAGGGCGTAAACATAATTGGTGTAAACATAATTACCGGTAGTTTGTAAATTAATTTTCTGAATTTAATTTGTCCGATACTCTATGCATGGTTATCAGTTGTGTCAAGTGAAGTACACCTAAATTTCTTCGTCCCTGTTGCTAGTTCTCTCGTTACACTTCCACAACACATTTAGAAAACAAACTTGGTTGACAGCTTATGTTTTTGGACCGTCATACGAGTGATATTCCATTAAATTCCAGCTTTCCGTTGTAAGTGGATAATATTAAATGTTGATCTGGTTGTGTGACTCAATTTAGTGACTGCCGATTCAATGAAAATACAAATAATCGCGTTTCTCATCGAGACAAATATATGATTTTAACAGACGCGTAGTGCAATCACATATACCATAAAAGAACTTTACGAGCAGACATTTTGGCTCACGCTTCAGTTGATTATGTATTGGTCCAAGTTATTGTTTTTCTCCATTTATTATCTCAGCATCGGAAATTTAGCAGGAGCAAAACGTGAGTCACTATTGCGGTAGTGGCACCACTCGTACAACTGCATGCTGTATGAATGCCAGCACGATGGCGTTCGTGCCAAGATCCCAAAGGTACGCACAGTTCGCTTAAAATATTTTAATGACCATTCTTATTCATATTTTTGGTAGACGTGAGCCAAAACGTCTGCTGGTACCCAGGGTAGAAAAAGCCAAGTCAAGTCAATCTTTTGACTACGAGTTAATTTAGTATTATCAACTATGTTGCAAACGTAAATTAGCCCCCGTAAAGGGTAAAAAAGCTGACGTTTCGAGCGTTTGACTACGAGTTTGTTATTTTACTCTATTATTTTTGGTAACTTGATAGTTCAATTTTTTGAAACGTGAACCAAAACGTCTGCTTGTAAAGTTCTTTATAAAATAGAATTAGCATGCTCTCGCATTTCATTTCGTGAGATGGTTGATTGTACAAGGGACCAGGGAGAGTACGATTTCAGGGGGAGGTGGAGGTTTTGTTCGATTCTCGTATTTCATGTATGTGACATGTTGTCGTCTCGCCTTATTTTAGATATTTATGCCTTCTTTTAGATTGTTTGCGAGTGGCTGTAGATGTTTTTGAGGTGGTTGTTGAAATTTTTGAGGTAGCTGTAGGTAGTTTTAGGTGGTTTTAGGTCGTTCCATGTTTTAGTACTTCCGGGTTACGTCAACCTTCCCCATTCCCCGTTTCTCTGGGCTAGTTTAGAGTGTAGATGTTTGAGCTGCACCTGTCCTTCACTACTGCTCTCATTAGCATAGTAAGTAAGGCGCAGTAAACGGTTTTCTTCAATACTTTCAACTAATTCACAGTCAGGACGAGAATCGGAGACAGATTCGGAGTAAATGTTTTCTAAAATCTTTCGACGCCCGTCGACATATCTCTGTCATTAGGCGGAATCCGCAACAGTCGAGATCACGATGGCGAGGAGAACAACACATAGACCTCTTAACGCGGTAAGCGTCTATCGAAGCACGTCTAATTCTGAGCTACAGGCTGACTGAAAGCTCTTGATTTTTTTCACGCACACAAATAGGCTCAAGCTTTCGATAGTATTCACATTCAGTTTGGTTCTTTTAAAGCTAAAAATATTTTGAAATCGACCGCGTGCGACAACATACAACCATGTTCGTCTGATTAGTTGTGCATCTTACACCTGACAACAGAGTGTGTTTACCACATTTGTTATCTCTGTCTCACTGATCTTCTGCTTTATGTAAAATTGTCCGAATATATTCATGTAACAAGAATGGGGACATACTCAAAAGATCACTGGTGTCTTACGAGCAGTTTTTGTGGTGGATTCTTTTTTAGAAATGGTCTATAACGACACGGATTTGCTTAAAACCCTGTATGCTTTGTCTCTGCAAAAAATCTTTTATCTCCCATACCTCTTCCTTAACCTGAAGACTACTTCTCAGTCATTAACGCTTTAATTTGGCTGGATTTATTTCTATTTGCTGTTCTTCAGCAACCCCATGGTGAGAAGTATATATAAGCAAGGCAGCAATAACTGTGCTAGATTATGATGGATTTGGCCTCCTTTTTAGAACTGTTTGAATGTTTATCTTTAGTCGAAAGCCTGTAGATCAGCGGTAGAGTTAGGACGGTTACGAAACCAATCTATTTTGGCATCAGATCAATTGATGTGTCTGAACGTTCTGCAGCTGATGGAAGAAATGAGAAATTTTCTAGTTAAAGTTTTCAAGCTTTATTTGAAGCAAACGAGTGGCATTGTTTTACCCTTGAGGCAGGACTTCATCCAAGGCCGAGTACTGCAAAACACTATACTGGCTTAATTAGGGTTGGCAAGGTATTTTTTTTTCCAGGTTTATTTATTTTCATCTATCTTTTTATACTAGGGATATCAATGGATCTTAAAAGACCTGGAGGATACTCAAAATCAGCTACGTATACTGAAACAATACTATTTTAAAGTGAAGGAAATTCAGCAGCAAACTAACTTGGTTACTCCAGAAGGCAATCAGGTATTTGAGGCTGGTGCTGAAAGACGTCTTGCAGACCTTGAGAGGGAGAAATGTACCATTTTCATCACTGGTAAGTTTAAAAATAGGTACCCATAGGGTACACTGTTCTCCAAGCGAAAACATTTGTGCACTTGAAGCCAACATCTGCACTGCTGGCCAAAAGACACTTATAAGCAGACAGCCCTACATATGGCTGCCTTCACAAAACCTAGTTTGAATTAGCACACTAACTTTGTATCTAAACATTCTTGCAAGTGGACATTGATGAAAACAGTGATGGATATTGTTAGGGGTTATGATTTCCTTTGTTTTTAATTTCTCCTTAGCAGACACTTGAGGTAAAATCATAGTAGCCTCCAAATTGTATTTTAAACAACAAAGACTCCACATTGCTGCCTGTAATACTGATCTGAAGTGCAATTACTATCAATGCACCAATCCAACATGTATGGTTTGTTCTTTGATCTCTATTATAGGCCATTCTAGTACTGTGGTTGGAGCAGTATTGTGTACAGTTAATAACAGCCAATTGTGGATCATATTCACAGTATGTATCTCATATTTTTTAACAGGTGAGACCAGTGCTGGTAGGAACAGTCTGATCAATCTATTGCTTGGTGAGCAACTTCTTCCTTCCAATATCCAGAAAGAGACTATGACTACCTGTGAAATATCCCATGGTTCAGAGAAGGAAATTGTGCTGCACTTTTCCAACAAGAGTGAACATAAACGTATCCTCAAGGGAGGAAACATTGAGGACCAAATCAAAGAGTACATTCAAAAGTCAACAAAGGATGAAGATTGGTGCAAGAAAATAGAGATAATGCTTCCCAACACATTATTAGAGGTAAGAATGTTACTCAATCAATCATCAATCCTCTATTATCTACTATGTATGAAAAGGAAGGTTATAATAATAACCATCATTTTAATCTTATTGATACTTCATAGTTTCTTTCAAGTTTACTTAATCAGATCACCAAGCCTTAACAAAATACCTGATTATGTTTCTTCATTAAGACCCTCAAACTATACCTAGAATTCTAAAAGTTTAGCAACTGTACATTGAAGATTCAAATAATTCTTTAGAGCATTTGTCCCAGGAGACTTACCACATTTGGCCTTTAAAGGACATTTTGTCACTTTTTCTTTCCTTTTTCCCTTTGGCCTCCAACAATGGAGCTTGAAGATTTCTTGAACCTTTTTCAGATTAAGATTTGCTTTAGATTTATTTTCCTGACAGGGATGTTGCACTTTTTTGGCTTTTTCGAATTGCATAATTTATTAATCCTCTTTCTCTAATTTAGGGTGGTATAGTGATTGTGAACAGCCCAGGAATTGGTGAATCAGATCATGTTAAAAGTATTTTCATGGACAACCTTTCTCAAGCTAATGCTTTCATTTACATGATAAACAGTCCACAGGCCGGAGGATTGCAAGAGGACATGGTAAGCAATGTCAAGCATTTTACAAACCTGTTGAACTTGCACATCGAAATTTAGTAAATATTACTGAAAATTAGTGGTGGCGCCCAAGAATTCACAACATTAACAGAATGTTTAATTTTCATATATTCACCATTATTACTTGTAACAATTAACAAAGAAAAATAGCAAGCAAACCAGAATGCATCAATCAGAGTCCAGTATGTCCAAGTGGAAATAGTGCAGGTGCTGTAATGCCGAAATCTCATGCCACATATGGGGCGGCTATTTAAGGCAACTTTTATCATCCACAGCTCATAAAGTAGTTACTCACCTTTTTTATAAGGCCATGTATTTTTCATGTAATATGTGACAGTGTACATGGATTCTGAAGAAACAATTTATTCAGATAATGAATACTCATAAAGTGATCATTCAGATGATACTTATGACAGTAGTTTTGTAAGAATTCTGCAGCTTTCATGATAACAAATGTAACATAGTAAGAAAATCTGTGTACTATAGAATATACTACCTTAATAAAGTCATATTTAATTTACAACCAAAAATATGATCTAGAAATAACCACAGAGAATAAAAACAAGAAGATAGTTGTGTTTTAAAAGATAAACCATGTGTTACTACAGATCAATAGCAATAGAAAACGGATGATTAATATCAATTTCATCATGAAACAGATATTAAATAATATGCAAATTAATTCAGATTATGTAAAGTAACCAAGATACCAGTACCTGTAAAAGTTACCCATTGATTATCTGAGTTAAATTCAAACATGACATTATATGATGGTCTTCCACCTGCAGTGTGTGTAGTTAATACTAATGCATCATTATCAATGTTACTTTTGTAATAAGCAAAATGAATGATTTCATAATATCCATTTTTTTTTATTTTGAATTTTTTGTAGAGATCAAAAACTGTGAAATATGATGGATGTGAAATAGTTCATTCTGAAGTGTTGAACTTAATATATGGCAAATAGTTAAATATATTTAATTTATAATTGTAGTAAAAAACAGGAAAATGTCTAATGTTATCCCTGCATGATTTATTTACAGCATCAATATCATTAGTTGGTGATACTAAATTGATGATTTTACCTTTAACCATCCTGATATCAGCAGCCATTGCTGTCTTTCCATCAGACCCAAAATCTCCTTTGTCACCTTTTGGACCCTGTAGACAAGGCTCACCTTTTGGTCCCTCAAAACCTTGCAAACCTGGTGGACCACGTATACTGATCACTCTATTTTGTCTTGTATCACCAACAGCAAAATTACCCATATGATATATATAATAAATGTTTATACATATTTAAACGACTTTTTAAAAAGAAGTTGACAATAAGGACAATCATCTAACATCCCACCATTGGATACAGTTATCTTTGCTTTGTATCCAGCAATGGATACATTGAAAGTAATATGACCACTATGTGTGACAAAAGAAAAATGCGTGCTATTTGATATTAAAACATTACCTCCACTTTTAACTGGTCCTACTATTAAGTACCATTATCGTTACCGTTGTTGCAATAACAGTAAACATTTTGCTTGTTTATCATCAAACACTTTCTTTGTAATAGGATTATCATCATTAGTTGCATCTTGTATTTTCAACTCTTTAGGTCATTTTAACAGGCGTTATGAAATCAAGAGTATACCATTAGTTATTTCAAACTTTTTATCCCACATGCTCAATGGAACATCACTGTAATATCCTGAGATGCCATAAACTATGACATGAATGACCAAATCCTGTGAATAAGCCAGAATTGACTTATTTTGCAATACCAAATCCCTCATCAAATGGTTAGTTGTTACATTATTGTACTTGTTTATATGAACCAATGATCTGGTGTGATCTGCAAATTAATTAGTTGAAACCCTAGAAATTGTCTCTGCACTACTTCATACATATTCAAACCAACATGAGATGAATAACATCCTTGGCTGGAATCTAAATTGAGTTTCATTTCATAGGTTTTTTTTACTGAACTGATGAAAGTCTTGATCAATGAATTTAAGCCCTGTGATATCATCTTCACCACTAAACTGCCCACTTTTGCTCTTAATGTATACAAATGTGTTTCCAAATCTGTACTTCCAACAGACTGATTTAATCTATCATTAACATACTTCTGATAATTAGTAGCTGTTTTTTTATTATTATTGTCGATAGTTGTATTGATAAAATTAACATCAGCAGCATGTGTGCTTTCATGCACCTGTGACTGACATAATTCTTACTTCTGCTATTCATATTCAAATTACCAGTCATCACCCTCGTACAATCAGTTTTCAACGAACTACTTGTTTTTGTATCAACATAGCTTTCATTGCTTCCATCTGTTGCACTTGTTTGGTCCACTACATTAATCTCCTTATTGCCTTTCATATCAAAACCAAAGTAAAGGTTTTACTATCAACATATTTCTTGTTGACCACTGCATGCTTATCACTATTATCATTGCTGTCATAATCTGGTATTAATAACATGCTTTTCAATGTCTGGGGTAACAGATCATCTATATCTATTTTCTTATTTGTGATATCTTTCGTCTGCTTCAAGGTCACAGCCTCATCATCATATTGAACTCTACTCTGGTCATAAATGGTCTTACCATCAGAATCCCATCTGTTACCACTTCCAAATCTCAATAATTGGTTATGATCACTTTTTTTTCTGTATGTTGTCTCCCAAAATACCTTAATAACTGCATCATCATTTGAGGTGGGTGTATGCACATTCTTAATACAGTTATTATTCAAATTAATATCAACTAAGAAAGTCTCAGAGCCATTCAGAATATTGTTTGCAAAGGCATCAACATACTTTTTAAAAAACTGAAAAATGAGATATCTGGTTACGTATGCAATATGACCCAAGAACAACCACTGAAGAGCTTGGTCATTGGGCCAGGGAATGCCATGGTGATGTATCCGTTCATCCATTTGATAGTACCTACAAGAAATTCCTTACTTTCACAAACAGTAATACAAGAACGGGTATAACTGTGGTGTACACTGTTAAAGATCATCATTGTTGCCCTGTTACTGATTATAATTTGAAGATAGCTCCAACAAAGGTTAATCAGAGGAGTTTTAGTGATCTGTTAAAGCACATGTCGGATATCACATGGACCTGAAGACATGAGAACATCACAAAGTTGAAATCAGTTGATGACATTGAAAAAATGAATGAAAAAAATAATATCATTGTACTACCTGAAGATGTGAGAATGCCTGATGCTGTTAATGGGTATATCGAGAAATCAAACTATTACCTTGAATACTTACATTGGAACAATAATAACTATTTAGATGGGTTCACTGATCATGATAAAAATATTAATGTGATGAATGATGAGTATGTATTATGTGAGAGATCAATATGTGATAAATTGTATGATAGGCATAAGATGTATGACTTTCTTTGGACTAACCAATCATATCCCAGTATATCCAATGCATTGCTCAAGCAACTAAATGTATTTTTAAGACTGCTAAACAAATGCTGGATGACTTTTATCCAAGGGCATTACAATGGTGTTCAACAGATGATATACCATATAATTTAGTAATTGTGGACATCTCTAATTCCTATCCCAATGTGCTATTAAATGATACCCATAATACCTTTGCACAGTATTTATGATGCGGTAGAGAACTTTAATTGTAAGAGTGATCGGGAAAAATGTAGTGAGTTTTATATTGATGAGACTGTAATCAACTATTACACCCATAATTATAGAAGCAGGTTTTTACAGTGCTAATCTGGTAGGATACTTAGTAGAGGTACTGCACATGCCAATCGCACAGATAAAATACAAAATCACGACCAAAAGAGCCTTAAAACCAGATACTTTCAAGGGGTGTATTAAGTTCATTGGATGAATTACCAGAAGCTGAAGCCAAAAAGATGGCTAATAGTTTAATCCGTGAACTCAGTCAGCAAGATCAGCCATGGTTTTATATGTAGAGAATATGATACTGCTATGTGTAGTTGGACATCTGCCATGAATAAAGAGAGGAATCTTACTATTCATCACTGTAAAGACTTGTAAACAATTGTTTTCTGATAATACCAGTATTGACCCTTTTTGTGGTATCAGAAGCCATACTAGAGTGTTTGTAGCTCATTGATTGCTGTTGTTCAAAGAATAGTGTGTTTTATGGTTATAATAAAGTTAGTATTTATATTACAAACAATAAAATGAAATTCAGGAACAAGAAAGATATTAAGGTTAGCACAAAATAGATTGGCAAAGCATTTGAGACAGATTCCAAGCCAACATACTTTGAGATGCATTAAAGAGAAAACATGTGCTTTGATGACTTTGAGAACAGATTGGGTAAAGGATGTATATATAATGAACAGGCTGGTAATGGTGAAACATAAAAGCTTGGTGAGTTGGTGAAACAATCAGATGATTGTATTGTGTTGTCATATACTAACAAAGCTTTGGAAAATGTTAAATCAAGGTTGCATGCTTTTAGATATGAAAAGACACAAGTTAATAACTCTTGATAATTACTTCTTTGGAATTGGTAAAGACAGGAGTATGGATAGCTTTGATGGGAAGGATATTTTCATCGAAGAGTTTAGTATGCTTTCTAATAGATGGATGACTCTGATTTATAAAGCTTTTGCAAAGTTCAATAACAAGGTATACTCATTTAGTGATTGCAGTCAATGTGAACCTTTAGTAGTCAAGTGCATTATAATTATCAGTTATCACCACTATCAATCAAATGTGTAGCAAAACAAAGACAATGAAAGACATTGAACATCCTAGTAGATATGATAAAGAGACTAATAATATGCATGGTACATTCGTTGAAACTGAAAGATATCCACTTACTTTGAACCAATTGGTAAGTACAATAAGAAGATCTGTTATCTGAATGCTACCAGGATAAGAGTTAATACGGAATGCTGTGATAGGATTGTATTGAACAAGAAATATGAAACCATTGACTTGAAGTATGAAAAGTATAAAGTTTGCATTGGTACTCCTATAATTGCAACACAAAATATCAAAGAAAAACAGATCTTCAATAAATGGAGTTTATTGTTGAGGATATTAAACATATTAACGTTAAGGTAAATGGTTTGACCTTGCTGAGTTTGCAGAACACTTTATCCTCAGTTTCTCTGTTACAGTGTATAAATACAAAGGTGCAGACATAAATGAGAACTATAATATATATGATGTCAAGTGCATAGATTAAAAAACAATTGTATACTGCATTATCTCGTACCAGAAAGTTTGAATTCATTCGTCTGAACTTCAAAGAGCTAAACAATAGATATGTTACCAGAGAACAACCTACGTTGGAACTGACAAATAGTAAGTTTAATAGTCTATACAAGAATGGTAAGATATATAAGATAATGTTTGATGACGGTAGATTATACGTAGGTTCAACATGTGAAGAACTAAATACAAGGTTAAAATGGCATTTGTCTGACAAAAAGAGCCAGGTATACAAAAACAGAAAGGATAACCCCAAAATTGAGCTCACTGTTACATCTCCTTCTGCTGATGAAAAACTTTAGAAAATGTAGAAAATTGTTATATCAATGAGTATGCTATTAAATACAAGAATTAGTTGATAAACATCAGATCCGTTAAAAAAGAGAAAGAAAGTGGAGTATAATGTTGATGTAGAGAGTGAACAACAACTAAGGGAAAGTGTGGGATTACTTGACAAGAGACGCCAAGAGTCTTCTGTTAGACATTTTATTTCATCTTAACTTTTTCACTTTTTAGCTTCGAGTATTGGATGAATGGAAGAAGCTCTACGAAGGAAGAGAAGAACCAGGCATCACTGCTGAATCTGCTCTTTTCGTCTGCAACAAGTGGGATGCAATGGAAGGAAAAGATGACAAAACCGAAACAGAGGAGCTCCAAAAGAACATCATACGCAGACTAAGGGAAAGAATTCCCAAACTTGATGAAGAATGTCAAGTAGTCAGAATATCTATCAACACAGCGAAAGAGGAGCTAATGGAGTCAGGCAAGATGAATGATGATCTGTACACGCTCATTTGTGCAATTCAGGACCTTTTACTCCGTGATGTAAAAATGAAAGCCACCTTCTTCTATCTGTAAGTAAAAAAAGCTTCTTGTTTGACAATCTAATCTATGGGAAACGAATTTCAGAACGTATTGATTCAAATTTACAAATTTAATCTTTTTGAAACCAGATTCGCAAAAATTCGCCCTCAGTCTAGAATGATTGACAGTCAGGCTCGTGCCCTGTCACACCTCAGTTAGTGGATGATCACTCTGTGTCATGGACTGTCTCCCACGATTTAAAGTCAGGCTCATGCCCTCCTGCAGCTCAGATGGTGGACTAGATCACTGTAGCGGGCGGATAGGGGAGAATTTTCAGTTTCCAAAGTAGGGGGCTTGGGAAGGGAGGTGAAACTTGCTGCACTTTTGGGTATGTTTTGTTGAGTCTACACAGATACATCTGCTTGGATTCGCAAAACATGCCCGCTGTGTTGCAAGGTTAACAGTCAGGTTCCTGCCCTGCCCCACCTCTGCTAGTGGTGAACACCCATTGATTGGGGGTGGTCGAGAGTCCGAAGTAGCAGGTGTACGAGGGTTCGCAAAAACCTCTAAGCTGAAAATGGAGGGGCTTATTGTCAAGGACAGCACCGATATGCAGCACAGGAACTGGCCCATTAGAGGGTTGGTCAGCGGCTGTTGTGCGTCCAAAGCACAAGGGTGGAGAGGGTTGGTTTTGGACTCCTCAGCCTATTCTAAATTGCTCTTAAGGTGAACGGGGCTTCCAAGCTTACTTAGAAAATGCACTGTTTAGCTTGACTAGCCGTCAGGCTTATTCCTTGCCACTGCTCCGTCAGTGGGCAGGGAAGATTCAATAGTGTAAGGGTGGTAGAGTGTCAAGACATCTTGGAAGGGGCTTCTATTGATATTGCAGACACTATCATTTAGGATTTTCGCTTGAAGGCAGTCATTGCCGCCTTTAAACCAGCCTGGCAGACAAAAAGGCCAAGAGTTTAAAGTCAAGGGTAGCACCTGCATAACTTTCAGCCACTGGTCCTTTTAAGGGTGGGTTGCGACTTGATCTGTATCTAAAATGATCGAATACGGAATTAACTTTGTTTCAAATCAACAGCTGGATAAGTGGCCAGATTAGCTGGCTAAAGGATTTAGCAAATGTACAAATACAAAGTACTCAAAGGAATAGAAAAGAATGCCTTGAGGTAAGGGAAGAACTTAATGAGTTACTGCAAGAGCTTGAGAAAGGCTCTCAGATCCATGAAATTGACGATGCTATTCATTTCCACGAGGAAGAACTGTGCAGAAAGCTTACGTCTTACTTGAGATCTGAAGAAGTTCAGAAAAAATTTTGCGATTGGTCCGAAAAGGACTTGCCTGTTATTGGTCATCGTCATAGTTCCCGAAGGATCAAATCCGAACTTGGTAAATGCATAGATCAAAGATTACATTCTTTGCTTAAAAGCGTGGAAAATAAAGAAAAACATTTCGCAAAAGCTCGTGCAGACCTGGAGAAAAAACGTCTCCAATATTTTTCTGATCTTCAAAAGGGAATTTGTGACCTTGACCGTGTTCTTGACTCAGAGGATCAGTCTGTTCCCTTTGAATTGCACTCTGGAAGAATGTGTTTGCCTTTATACGCAAGAATGAAAAAGATAATTGTGGCAGCTGGTGTAGTTTTTATGCCAGTGTTGATTCCTGTTGGTCTAGCTGCAGGAGCTCTCTTTGCACCCGCTTTCGGTTATATGGCTGTCGCAAAGTATCTCAAGGAACATCAGCTCAGGGAAGATCCTTGTAAATCTTTAAAAGAACTTTCCCCACAGTTTCTAAAGTCTTTCATTAAAGAAAGTCTACGGGATCATGTCCAAAGAGAACTAGCTAACGAAAAAAATCAAATTTCCCAAATAAAGAGATGCCATTCAGCGATCATCAGTAAATACGATCAGCAATGTGAGGCTTTCAGGAGGATAGCAGATGAATCAGGAGATGAAGAAGCCCTGGAAGAGAAGGCCCTGGAAGAGAGGGCCATGGTCGACCTGTCTTGGAAACTGCGGAATATGAGCGACAACCTTTTGTTTGACGCCATCCAAAACGGAGTACCAGTCATGTACCCGTCTGGCCAAATCGATGGCAAAAAGCTTTCTTGCAATATGGAAGAAGTGCTAGGAATAGGAAGCTCAGCCAAAGTCTTCCAGGGAACACTAAAAGGACAGAGTGTTGCTGTAAAAAGGCTGCAACAAGAGCTTCATCCACAAAGTGTTGCTTGGTTTCTTGAAGAAGCAGGAATGTTAAGGTATGAGTCTGGATAGCTAAACAGATAGTAAGACAGTCAAACAAATGCACACACTGACTTAGGAAATTTTCCTGGTGTTACCATACTTTAAAAGTCTGCTTCTTGTCTTTTGAGCTGCACCGTTTTAAATGCCACACAAAGTTACTTCAAAGGTCCTCAAATATACCGCTGTTTGTCCGAATACATATGGGTGATAGGTAAAGAGGCACATAGTGCACCGGAACTTGGAAACGTTCTCGCTACGGTTTTAATACCGGCATAATCAGTTATATTATATCGTATTTTCTGAGTAACTTTAGAAAGGAAAGCGTACATTGCAGTGCTGAAGAGTAATTAAAACGGTTTTCTTTCTTTCTCGTCACACAGGCAAGTACAACATAAAAACATTTTGACTTTCCATGGAGTGTGCATGAATGTTCAAAATGGCCGGCTGATTTCCTTGGATATCGTCCTTGAGTTGTGCGCCTCAAGTCTGAAGGATCAAATCTTCAACGAAAAAAGAAACACTCCTTGGATGACGGAGGATGCTGCAGTTAAAATACTTCGATGTACCGTGTATATCTTACTGGGGCTGGAATTTCTTCACAATCTTGGCATTGTTCATCGGGATATTAAGCTGTCCAACATGCTGGTTTGTTAATGCATTGGCAATAATCTATTTATTCTCTCGACCTTGAAAAAGCTGTCGTTGTTTTACACTTTTGAAAATGATGATTACATTTATATGAGCTGATTTAAATAATAATTACACCTGTCTAAAAGTTCGCGCTGGCGTTTTTCCAGTTTGCTAAACTCGATCGGTGTTAGCTTTTCCTTAGATTTCCATGTTTTTTTTTTGTTACCTCTGTGGTTTTTCTGCGTTTTCTTTGGAGCTCTCTTTTAGTTTCAAGCTCCATTTAAAATCGATGATGACTTGATGAGTAAGTGAATTGAACACCTCTACACGACTTAACGATCCCAGTGGGATACACAGGAAAAATGGGTCAGAGGACGGAAAAGAAGGAAATAAATCCTAGGAGATATGAAAAGCAAATTAAACGAGCTGACACTCAAAGGTGAAAACTTAGGGGCCTTTTTCGCACCTTACCTTTGTTACAGTTCCGACGGAAGTAAACGTTATACCTTTTTCTTAAAACACAAGTTTAAATATATTAATACACGTTGTAACAATAATATTTCCTGTTTCGATTAACATCTGAAATCTTTCTGTGAACTCAGGTATTAGCAACTTGAATAAACCACGAGGAGGTATGCAGTCGAACCTCCCTTTGTGACCATTTCTCGTAAGCGACCACTTCTCGTTGGCGACCACTTTTTCAAAATACCAAACGTTTCTAAGTCAAATCACCATAAATAGAATCTCTCGACAGCGACCACCTCTAGGAAGCGAGTACTTCTAGAGATGCTTGTTTACAAGTTTCAATTGTTTTCTAATAATAATAATAATAATAATAATAATAACAATCATAATAATAATAATAATGGAGGATTTGTAAAGTGCTATGTCAATTTGCCCATGGCGATTTACAACAAGTTGAAGTGAACTTTGGCCTTTCTGCATTGAGTATACAATGTTTTGAAGCCATTTGTGAGATACAAAACAATCACCACATGTACAGATACTAGGATTTTCTCCCTGAATGAGCCACTAAAAGTTACTACTATATGTTGACACGTAGGTTTCGATAAGCGCTGGCAAAAGGGTCCGGTCACCATGTGCAAATTGATTACTTAAAACATAGACCCTCCTGTGGCCTGACCTTAGGTAAGTGACCACCTCCTGGAAGCGACCACCCAGACTAGACATTACGGGTGTGCGCTTCCGGGAGGTTTGACTGTATTTACATATTAAATGTTTCTTCTTGCAAATTTGAGATGCTGTCTTTCCTCGTTTTCAGATCTCAAAAGACAGAGTCATCAAAATTGCAGACTTCGGTTGGGCGAAGTCTGAAAGCTTGATCACGGGTACCCAATGCGGGACCTTGCGTTACATGGCGCCGGAAGTAAGAGAACGCATCCCGTACGGCTCAAAAGTGGACATGTACAGCTTTGGCATCATGATGTGGGAAATGTGGTACGGTAAAGAAATATTTACCGACCTTATTGAGAACGGTGAAGAAATCCCTCCTCCGACAGAGGTCAAAGGTTATCTATCTAGATGCCCCGTAGGGGACGGCAGCTTCGCTCCTCCAGCAGAGTGGACCAATCTTATGATATCTTGCTGCAATCCTGATCCAGACCAGAGACCAACAGCGACAGAATGTAAAGAGTTACTGGTGAAAATTACTCGAAAATACGAAAAGTAAGAAAATCAGAGAATTGCAGTCATATTTTGCTCCTACTTTTACACTTGAAATCAGTTGTTACAAAAATTAATTTAAAAATAACATTTGTTTAAAGGCAACTATTCTATACAAATGTAATTACACTTTTACTGTTTACAGAGAGCTTTTTTGAACACTCATAGGCTTGCATATGTTAGTGTTATTTAAATGAAAGTTACCTATCCTCGGCTATGACTACTAGGTAAAATGTATGTTATAGAGGTTATTCTAATTAGAAGGTACCAAGGAGAAACTCTTTGCATCCTTTTATGCGGCCAAGTTGTGACTAGCACTCATTACCCGTCATTCAGATGAGCAATTTTCCTCTATTTCAATCTGTCTTAAGATTGATCCCTGAATTAAACTCGACACACAGTGGATATTAGAAAGGAAAAATCGACCAGCTCCCACTTAATAAAGGATCCGCGTGTCCTTAATTAGCTGAAATCAATTTGGCTATTATTGCGTCGCCTGTCATAACCTTTTCGCTAAGCAATGAGTTATTATTGCAGAATATTAGGTAATTGTTAGCTCCCTTGATCATTGTGAGGTTTGGCGAAAGTATTAATTGCTTCCACGACTATGTGTAGGCTACTTTGTTTATACTGACCCGCTCGCTTTTACGTCAACGCTAAACAGTTTGATCAACAGGATGGTATTTTAAACTGAAATGGGGGGGCCTAGCCAGTTTCGGCGTACAGTTGTTAAAAGGAATGGTGTTGTATCGAGTTCGATTTTCTTCTTTGCCTTCAGAAGGAGGAGAGGGGACCAAAAGCAGAGAAAATGAAGTATTGTAAATCTATTTTTTAGATTTTTCGAGTGAATAGCTTTAGTTTTCTGTGATCTTTTTCAGATTAAGTATTTCAATTTTAAATAAGTTTCTTAGAATGAGGTGTTTTAAATAGATTTCATTATTCTAATTTTCATTAATTAAACGAGGAATAGGACTCTAAACACATTGATCTATACTAAGACCCCGTATCTCTCCGTCTTTCTTTCTCTTCCTCTCGGACGACGGGACGAAGAGAGATTCTGGGAGGCTATACGTAATGTAGAAAATATTGGAATAAATGAATGTTGCAAAATATAGAAATATGCATCTTCGTCTTCAATAATAAGAAATGAAACGCTTCGTTGGGCTACAAGGGAGTCTCGTAAGATGCATGTGATACTCGCGTTTGGGGAACAAAATTTACAATCCATAACCAAAAAACCACCTGGGATGCTCTTGAGTGCCAGTAAGATATTAGTAAGCGAATCTCCCTAACGAGCGAACCTTCCTGCAGTCATAGTCTGTCGCTTCCTCTGCTTGCGATTAGAGCGTTTTTAAAATTCTATATCTGAGTAAACACAACTCAATAGCCAATCACAGTAAAGCTAAACATCGCAAAGCGCATATCAAAGCTCAGAGAAAAAAAACAGTGCATTCCTTGAAGCACAAGAAGACACGAGTTGTAAAGTCTCGATTGGTCAAGATTTGCATCGGATTGATTCACAGGATGTTAGAAGGTTTCTGGGGCAACTACGTAGTTATTAGTTTCGACACGCGATCGAAGTTTTCTTCAGCAAAGAGATTAGGTTGATCAATTGTTGTGATATATTTGCGAGCAACTTGTAATCGTAAGGGACCGAGGAAAAGATTTCCACAGAAAAGTGAAGAGCGTCGGTTTATCGATTTAATGTTAAGGACGCGGGGAAGTGGTGTATTGGCTAGATTGCTTTATGTAGTGACGACTCTGATTTTTCCGAAAAATCAGAGGCAATGTGCCAGTTTTTCGATAAACACGGCTATCCTGTTTCTGTCGTTCAAGCGGGCTACCACCGTGCCCAACAAATCGATCGACAGGCAGCACTACAAACGGCCGAGAAGGAGAACACGGATCGCATTCCATTTACTCTTACATTTCACCCTCACAACCACGCAGTTAAATCTATCATTCTTAAAAATTTTAAATTACTCCAAAACGATTCAGAGACTGGCACTATCTTTTCGCAACCCTCACTTATTTCATTCAAACGTGACAAAAACATAGGCAACTTTTTAGTCAGGAGTTCATTTCAAACCAATGACCAATCTGGAACTTTTAAATGCGCTCGCTCACGATGCAAAACTTGTCCTTTCATTCATAACGTAGAGAAAATATCGGGACCCAAAAGATCCATTAAGATCATTGATCACTTTACGTGTACCTCCGCCAATGTTATTTACTGCATAACTTGCACTTATTGCGATAAGTTATACATCGGCGAGACAGGAAGACGACTGGGTGACCGATTCCGAGAACACCTTCGCGATGTGGAAATAAATGACAAGGACGCATCCAAGCCAGTCGCTAGACACTTTAATCTTCCTTATCATTCTAAACAGCATATGGCAGTTTGCGGCCTTTCCCTACATCTAGGCAGTTCGGAAAGCCGTAAAACACTAGAACAAAAATTTATATTTCAAATCGGCACCCTTAATCCCCACGGAATCAACGAGCGCTTTTCATTCAACTAATTTATTCCTGTTTTTTCGTCACCATATTCCCACCAATGGCGTAGCTCCACTTTCTACATATAAATCCACACACAACCCACAATTCCTCGAAGGGCTAACGCTCGAAACGTCAGCTTTTTTACTCTTTACGGTGGCTAATTTACGTTTTCAACCCAGTTGTTAACACTAAATTACTTGCTAAAGTTCTCTTTAGTTCAGGTGGATAACATCCAACCACTTTTACAGAGGTTCTTTAGTTTGACTCCTTATCCTGATATTTTTCTGCCCCAGTTACAATTGAAGGTATTATTTTCTCTTTAGACAATGTATATCACTAACTTAGCAATCTAGCCAATACACCACTTCCCCGCGTCCTTAACATTAAATCGTAAAACCGACGCTCTTCACTTTTCTGTGGAAATCTTTTCCTCGGTCCCTTACGATTACAAGTTGCTCGCAAATATATCACAACAATTGATCAACCTAATCTCTTTGCTGAAGAAAACTTCGATCGCGTGTCGAAACTAATAACTACGTAGTTGCCCCAGAAACCTTCTACCATCCTCTGAATCAATCCGATGCAAATCTTGACCAATCGAGACTTTACAACTCGTGTCTTCTTGTGCTTCAAGGAATGCACTGTTTTTTTTCTCTGAGCTTTGATATGCGCTTTGCGATGTTTAGCTTTACTGTGATTGGCTATTGAGTTGTGTTTACTCAGATATAGAATTTTAAAAACGCTCTAATCGCAAGCAGAGGAAGCGACAGACTATGGCTGCAGGAAGGTTCGCTCGTTAGGGAGATTCGCTTACTAATATCTTACTGGCACTCAAGAGCATCCCAGGTGGTTTTTTGGTTATGGATTGTAAATTTTGCTCCCCAAACGCGAGTATCACATGCATCTTACGAGACTCCCTTGTAGCCCAACGAAGCGTTTCTTTTCTTATTATTGAAGACGAAGATGCATATTTCTATATTTTGCAACATTCATTTATTCCAATATTTTCTACATTACGTATAGCCTCCCAGAATCTCTCTTCGTCCCGTCGTCCGAGAGGAAGAGAAAGAAAGACGGAGAGATAAGGGGTCTTAGTATAGATCAATGTGTTTAGAGTCCTATTCCTCGTTTAATTAATGAAAATTAGAATAATGAAATCTGTATAAAACACCTCATTCTAAGAAACTTATTTAAAATTGAAATACTTAATCTGAAAAAGATCACAGAAAACTAAAGCTATTCACTCGAAAAATCTAAAAAATAGATTTACAATACTTCATTTTCTCTGCTTTTGGTCCCCTCTCCTCCTTCTGAAGGCAAAGAAGAAAATCGAACTCGATACAACACCATTCCTTTTAACAACTGTACGCCGAAACTGGCTAGGCCCCCCCATTTCAGTTTAAAATACCATCCTGTTGATCAAACTGTTTAGCGTTGACGTAAAAGCGAGCGGGTCAGTATAAACAAAGTAGCCTACACATAGTCGTGGAAGCAATGATTTTGTCCAGTACCTTAGTTCTGAGCCCAACATCTCGGGCCCTTGTCGCTGAGTAACAAAAAGATCTTGCACACTATGCGGCGCCCGAGGTTTTACCACTCACACATAGTTTATCGCAGTCGGTCATCTGGGTTTGCAAGCGTCACTCTCAGTGGAAGAATGGAACGAATGGGAAAGTGGGACGTAAATTGGAACTGAATCCCACGATATTTTTCCCAATCTTGTAGGTCTTTGCTTACATATTCTCTCTTTGCTTCACTGAGCGCTTGCATCGGAACCTTCAAAGTTTTGTGGTAAGAGAAAATTAACAATATCGTGGAAGAGTTTAATAAAATTGATTGGTCCAAATAGTTACTTCTGTATGTGATATCAGTCTAAAGAAGACATCCCTCCCTTGACAAGGACTTCTTCCTTCCTCCCTTCCACCCTTCTTTCCTCCCCAGGAAGGTTTTTAACACAACACAAATTCACTCCAGAGTTTGAGAGACACTGAAAAAGGAAAGTGTTTTCCCAGTCACCCTAACTTGGGATTTCTGATGAAAAGTAGCCTAAAGAAATACATAAGTTTGAAATTGCTACCTTCAAGGTGTGATATTGGACAAAAATATCATTTCCAGTTTTAGAAAAAGAACTCATACAAAGATAATAGAGACATTATGTTTATTTATCAAATGACTAGCAAGGTGAAGCCAGTTTGATTGACTACCTTAGTGCCCATCTTTCCTGCTTGCAATCGCCCACCTTATTTCCACAATAAAAATTAAAGGTGCTTTTAGCCAGCTGACAATTAACTAGCGCAATGAGGTGCGGACGTCTTGTATTCTGCAGCATACACCTTTATTGAATATCTGACGGGCTATACTAGTAACTAAAGTACTTGCTACATCTAGTTACAAGCTCGGCTTTTATAGGTACGGTTGAGGATGTAGAACGTTCCGTAAAATTGCAATAGATTCTATTTATGTATTGATTCAGGGATGACTCAGCATGACACAGCTACTTCTAGAACATTCTTGAAGGTCACACTACAGTTGTGTTCTTGTAAAATAGCATCCTTGGTCAACCCTTTCACGTCAGAAACTGAGTTGACGAGTAATTCTCTCTTAATAGAAAGGAGTTCCAACTCCTCACATGTTTTTCCTGATAACAGTTAACTTAGAGCATCATCAATCACTACAAATTTTGCTCTGGTTATTTTTCCTCCAATCTGGATGTCAAGGTAGACTTCACCTTTGGGAAACACACGCTCTCCATTATACGCTTTCAAAATGGCACGAGTTTTCTTCAAGTCTGATCGGTTTTGAATCCTTACAAAATCTTCCGGCATTCTCAAACAATTTGCCTCTGATCCACTATCAATCTGCATGGTTACCTCAATCCAATTACTTGTCTGTCCACTTCTTAGCGGAGATTCAATCGTGTATTTAGAACGGCTGCTGTCGATGACTGACTACATGTAGTAAACTTCATCATCAGTGATTGCTGGTTCGGCTTCTTCAATTCGATGAATACTCCTCGTAGGTTTCTTGGAAACGCTCTTCACAGGTTTCTGTGTTCTGGGTTGAAATATAATACAAAGACTTGTCAGCAGATAGTCAAATGAAAACTTTTTACATATCAATAAAAAAAGCAAAAGGCTTTTGTTTCACGGCATACCCATGTTTTTCCTAATAACAGTTAACTTGGAGCATCATCAATCACTACAAATTTTGCTCTGGTTATTTGCCTCCAATCTGGATATCAAGGTAGACTTCAATAAAAAGACAAAAGGCTTTTGTTTCACGGCACACCCATGTCACCTTGGCCTGTCACTGCAGGACATTTACTTACAATATCGGGATCATTAACCGTAAACGCGTTAAGCAAGCCTTTTTATCGGTTTGATTGTACCCTCTGTTCCACTGGTCCTCTGTGCTCACTGTTCCTCTGGTCCTCTGGTCCTCTGGTCCTCTGGTCCTCCGTTGCTCTGGTCTTCTGTACTCAGAGTTCCTCTGGTCTTCTGTTCTTCTTATCCTTTTTACCCACTGTTCCTCTGGTGCTCTATACCCACTGTTC